GGGGCATTTCTGTCTCTTCCTATTATTAGAGCTCTATGCACAATTTTGCACATTGTAGTTGCCTGGCACACTTGTCTGGAGCTATCTTGAAGATGCTTCTTAATGGATTGTTTCAGGAGTATGGCTTTATCTCACACCCAGAAAGAACAGGGTAGATTTACTCTGTTCCCAGAAAGGATGGGAGCAGACACAAACTCTTTTGTACTTTATTATATCCACATAAGTGCAGACTTATGAAGTACAGACAGCAGTTGTCAGAACATGCATACTTGTTTCTTTAAAAATTCATGTTCTTATCTTGTGTAGTAGTTCTCTGTGTTTAATTTATTTTCTCAGGGAATTGACAACTCAATTTTAATGCAAATGGATCAGTGCTGTTACCATTGCTGTTCATTCTGCAGTAAAATACTGGGTTTCATTTCTGGTGGTGGTTTGGGTGTGGGTTTGGTTTTTTTTTGGGGGGAGGGGGGGGTTGGTTGTGGTTTTCCTTCTTTTAAGTAAAAATTCAAGTGCCCTTTTAAATGTTTAATTGTATCCATTAATATAGACAGCGTAGCAGTTTGGTGAATCCAGGTTCAGGAACTGATTTATCTGGGCTACTAAAGTTGTATGACAATATGCTAAGGGCCAGATATGGAGGTGGCGTGCAAACTGGCATATATAAGATTTCTTTATGTTCTTAGATGGTATTAGCCTCCTACGAACTTCCTTATGCCTACTCAGTTGACATGTAAGGGATGCTAGGGTAGTGTAATTTACATGGTAAGCTCCTCTTACCATATAAGCATTAAGAACATACAATTGAAATGCACCTCACCTTGTTTGAACTTGCTTATTTTTTTCTGTCTTACTCTGTATTTGCACTGTGTTCAATACCACGGGCCACAGACCTTATTGGTGTGACTGGGCATTTACATAAATATAAATTTACTTCTTCAACTGATACAGTCAGCTTTGTGGAAAGCAGAGTTCCTTTTGGATTTAGCAATGGAGCAAAAGCTCTCGTGTACCTGGAATACGTATGACAGGAAGAGCTCAAGGGAAGAGGGCAAACAGGCATTGGCTCTAGAAATTACCTGGAAAAAAGTGGATTGTGGAAGGAGCAAGGACAGTTGGGATTTTGAGAGCACTTCAGCCTGTATGATGAACACCTGTATTCATCTAGGTAACTCCAGCGGTAACCAGCAATAGGACACAAGGAAATAGAATGAAGCTGTATCAGGGGAAGTTCAGACTGGACATTAGGAAAAGGATCTTCACTGAGAGGGTGATTGGTCACTGGAACAGGCTCCCTGGGAAAGTGGTCATGGCACCAAGCCTGTTGGAGTTCAAGGAGTGTCTGGGCGATGCTGTTAGTCATATGGTGTAGCGTTAGGTAGTCCTGCAAGGACCAGGGAATTGGACTCTATGATCCTTATGGGTCCCTTCCAACTTGAGAAGATATGCTATGATTCTAACTCTTGCAATTTTTGTCAATGGCAGAACTAATGTTAAATAAGTGTAAGACTGTCATGAACTTGTCATTGAAGACACGTCTTGATCCCTCGTTTTCAAACTCATCACCCTTACAAATAGTCTAGGGTTTAAATTATTCTAGTGCAAAAGAATGATAGCACCAAGAAAACCGCAACATTGCCCTAAGAAAGTTAATAGATAATGTAACTTTTTGTTAATTGCACTGGACAGAATGAGGAATAGACTATGTAAAGGGAAATGTTGCATCAAGCTTTCTGAGGGATTACAGGACTATTTGGAGCACTGAACTTGCTTGCAATAAGACTGTATTTAAAAGAGATGAGCCTGATGCCTAGTAGCAAGTGTACAGGGCTTTACTCATAGCTTCTTAAGCAATCACACTGCTTTCTAGTTCTCAAGAAAAAAGTCTTGGGGAATAGAATAGGATAGTCCAGTTCAAAGGGACCTAGAACTATCATCTAGTCCAACTGCGTGGCCACTGCAGGGTTGACCAAAGTTAAAGCATACTATTAAGGGCATTGTTCAAATGCCTCTTAAACACTGACAGGTGAGGGGCATCAACCACCTCTTTTTTTTTTTTCTCTACAAAAGTACTGCGAAAAATCAGTGGGCTGGCTTTGTGCATATAGAAATATCTAGAGTCATGCCTGTGTACAAGAAGAGGTGATGCAAGTGCTGACACCTTCTTCTCTGGACATGAGCTGAGCTCTTTGTACCTCACTTCTCTGCTAGAAGAGTTCCTGACTGTAGTTTTTTAAAGGGTGCTTTTGCTAAAATACAAAGACTGCCTAAATAGAATAGGAAGATGCAACAGACTAGGACACGGATGTTTCAGAGGCAGTAACTAAACGACAACACTGTTGTACAAAGCCACACAAGCTGAGTGCTTGTTTTACCCTAATCCTTTCTGAAAACTCACCCAAAATTTCTTCAGCAATTTAATTTGTCAGACAAATATCTTGAATCCATGGCACTAAATCCTGTACAGCTTGAAAGAACCTTAGAAAGTCACTGTGTCTGTATACCTCTCTCTCTCTCCCCCCCACACACATAAACAAACTACAAAAGCACCAAGTGTTGAAAAGTGTACTTGCTGTATAATATCGCTGGCAATGAGTTTGCCAAATCAGCTATAGTACTAAGGCATGCTTGGAAAAGAAGCTGACAGTTCCAGGTGAATCATAGAATGTTTTGGGTTGGAAGGGACCTTTAGAAGCCATCTAGTCCAACCCCCCTGCAGTGAGGAGGGACATCTTTTAACCGGATCAGGTTGCACAGAGCCCCGTCCAACCTGGTCTTGAATGTTTCCAGGGATGGGGCCTCCACTACCTCTCTGGGCAACCCATTCCAGTGTTTCACCACCCTCATTGTAAAGAATTTCTTCCTTATATCCAGTCTAAATCTACCCTGTTTTAGTTTAAAACCATCACCCCTTGTCCTCTCACAGCTGGCCCTACTAAAAAGATTTTCCCCATCTTTCCTATGGGCCCCCTTTAGGTACTGAAAGACCACAATCGGGTCTCCCCGTAGCCTTCTCTTCTCCAGGCTGAACAGCCCCAACTCTCTAGGGCTCCAGGTGAGGACTCACCAGAGCAGAGCAGAGGGGCAGAATCCCCTCCCTTGCCCTGCTGGCCACGCTTCTCTTGATGTAGCCCAGGGTAGGGTTGGCCTTCTGGGCTGCCAGCGCACATCGCCAGCTCATGTCCAGCTTTTCATCCATCAGTACCCCCAAGTCCCTCTTGGCAGGGCTGCTCTCAATCCTTTCTTCCCCCAGCCTGTATTGATACCAGGGGTTACCCTGACCCAGGTGCAGGACCTTGCACTTGGCCTTGTTGAGCCTCATGAGGTTCACACAGGCCCACCTCTCCAGCCTGTCCAGGTCTCTCTAGATGACATCCCATCCTTCTGGTGTGTCAACCGCACCAGTCAGCTTGGTGTCATCTGCAAACTTGCTGAGGGTACACTCGATCTCGGTGTCTATGTCATTGAGGAATATATTAAACAGCACCGGTCCCACTACGGACCCCTGAGGGACACCACTTATCACCCGTCTCCGTCCCGAGATTGAGCTGTTGATCACTGAATGACATCGTGGAGCTACTGAACCCAACTGAAAGATGTTTTAAAATTAATTTTAGGATGAAAAAAAGAAAAAGGAACACCCAACATCACACAACCAAAACCCCCATTCTTCAAGAGCAAGAACAACACATTCTGTGTTGGTGGCTTGCACAGAATTTCACTCGACTGGCGCTAATGTTTTACCCAGAGAAAAAATTATGAGAATAGTAAGAGAGGTTTCCAAGAAACGGAGGAGTCCTGATCTGAGCGAGGCAAATAATGAGGTCTGCTGGCAAGTGAAACGGCGAGCCTAATGTGAAGCTGTAAACGATCAGAGAGATTAATACACTGTCAGAAGCTGCTTTGTGGAAAGACTTAACAAGACAGTTCAATGAATGCAAAACATCTTGCACCCAGAGAAGGTAGGAGGGAACAGCACAGATTCATAGCAGTTAGGTATTCATCACCAAAACTTGCTCTTTTAAACACTGTTGGGTTAAATTAGTACAAAGTAAATTAGTATCTTTACATTTCAACAACAATTTATGTGTAAGCTCTTAGAGGAGGGGAGATTTGTGGCTTCTGTTGTGTCTAAGGTGTTGTTACCCTGGGAAGGAGTAGAGTGCCTTGTCCCACCATCCCAAGTGGACAAACTGTGCTAAATGGTGTAAGAGCCTATGGTGTAAGTTCTGAGCAGACAACTGTATTTAATTGAACATGGAATAAACATGAGTTTAATGTCTCAAATGTTCACAGGGAACAAATGATCATATACAATGGCCACAACTGCCTGCCTGCCAGCATTGATAATATAACCCATTCTCCATGCCCAGGTGGAACAAAAAGTTGTCCTCAGTGATGAGGAATGGGCTCTTAAATACCCCGTTCATCTGCTCAGCATTTGCAGAGCTCCATAGCACATAGATGGTGGGTGGGACTGAGGCTGGTGGGAGCATAGGCTGTTGCGCTGTGTTCTCACTTGTGGTCACTGAAGGGGTGGCTGACTCTGGGGCTTTAGCAAAGAAGACAGCAAGCAATTGTGGGTGGTCTGACAGCCATAGTCTCACAGCCCATTTAGCTGTGAGCACTTGAAGCCCCTGAGCACTAGAAGCTGGGTGGGCAGTAGCTGGTGCTACTACAACTATTGCCAATTGTAACCGCAGGCAGCAGTCCTGCCTGCTCATGTTCTCTTACCAGCTGTGGCACCTGACTGGACCTTCCCCTGTTCCTGCCCTTCATCTTTAGGGTTGCAAATTTTTTTTCTCTCATGTTTTTGCCTTTTCTGCTCAGAAGCATGAAGGGTCTTTCCAGTGTCTGTGGCATTGGCAGCATGTAAGCGAAAGGGATGCCATCAGCCTGTGGTTTTGGACAAGAACATGATTGTTTTCTTCCAGAGCCACAACAAGGGTTTTAATCAATTCATTAAGAACGCAGCTTCTAAAACCAGTTTGTTCTCTCAATAGGCAGCAAGTGGAGCAGTGACTGCTGTATTGTGGATGAGACCCTCTGGCAGGACAAGACACAACATCCCGCTGTGGCACCAGCTGTCTGGCATCAGCACTGAGAAGTGGTGTATGGCAACGCTGGGTTGAGGTAGGCTCTGGAAGTCCCGTATCTGGGGAGCTGAAAGGAAAAGCTCAGTACAGACAGCAGGTGAGGGACATCTCAGTACCAAAATTGCCTCAAATCTGCCAGAAGGACTGGGGATAGAAGGCATGTCAAATGATGAACCTGCAGCATCTTCAATAGAAGTCTGCAACAGCATCTGGTGTGGCAGCAAAAGAACACATATTGTTTGGGGCAAATAGGTGTATTTTGGGATGATTCCATTATTCAAAGATGTCTATGACATCACACTGACTCTCCCGTGTGTGTTTAGTTTATCTGCATGAGCATTTTGACATGGGCGAAGGAGGAGGTGAAAAGGTGAACTGGATCAAATAGCTGTCAGAAACAGTGCCAGTGCTTGACAAGTTTCTTGCTCGCTTCTATCTAGTCTGGCAGAATTAGGCATGGATCTCAGGGTCAGTTCAGGAACAACGTGCTTACACAGGGCCCTGTCTTGGAAAGCAGTAACATGAAAAATTTTGCTGTGACTGTTGACCTGCTGGTTAGGATGTGGTTTTGAGGAAGAACGCTTGAGAGGATAGGTAAGGAACTCAATCCCACTTTCATTTAGACCAGTACAAACCCCCTTCTGCCCTATGAATGTCATTGTGCTATGAGTGAATAACCCTTAGTGTTGTAAATAGGTCTTTTACACTGTTGCTGGATTACATAAACACTGACAAATGATACTTGACCAACATAATGGCCAAACTGACATAAAAAAGTGGAACAACACATATCAAGTGACAGGGAATCCATGGTGATGAGAACGTCCAGCACTCTCTTGCACCTGTCCTCGTGTGCTGCAGGATCACCCTGATTTCTTACAAGTTCATGTTGGGCTTTATATGAACCTATGCGCTAGCTGAACCCTAGCTGCCTTGAACAGTGCTCTTTGGCATTTTTTTCAGATGTTATGGTTGCACCACCTACCACATAAATGAGAGCTAGTTTTCTACAGAAAAATGGTGCAATACCTTTTATTCCTACTGTGACTACTGATTTACGTGCAGAGAAGCCATCGCTCTCCTACAATAAATTCTGCAAGAGCAAAATACTAACATATACTAAGGATTCATGCAGTGTTATGGTAGCCTTTGGAGATGAAATTAAACGTCTTTAATGCTTCATGCCCCAAGTTTGAAGTTTTAAAAAAATATACAGAGCAGACTGCACTACATAATGACATCTTTGTTTGCAAGCCATCAGGGAGTGTGGAACGTAAGAGCACTAAGTGTGGCACAATAAACCAAAATTGCCAAATTGCCTTACCCAAAGAAGGGGAAGACTGAGCGCTACTGTTAATTAGAAAAGTGCAGCGGCATCTGCTCTGGGCCAATCAAAAAGTACCTCCCCTCCCGCTAAAAACTTCACTGTCGTGCTCCGCTTCGCCTGCGGCTCCAGGGCCAGCGTGGGGTAAGCGGGGCCGTGCCGGTG